TGGCACTTAACAGGCTTTGATCGTTTATGACTTATAGGGCCTTGAGCCCGACACTGAATACAAACTATGTACACGCTCTACTATGGTATATGCTGAGCTGGACTTACGAGCCATGGTGTTCAAGAGCAAGAGACGAAATCCCGATTGCTGATCGGAGTGTTTGGCATTGTGCATGACTGATGGTTGGCAGACCGGCATGATTTCGATCCCGGTCTGCCAACCATCAGTTGTGGTCATTGTTATTGTTTGATGGTGGCAGTGCTGAATCGCATTTTGCTCCCAACGTCCACGATCTCGTCGTCATGTCTCATGAGTACATAGAAGTGATACGTGGTATATAGAATTAATAGCGTCTGAATCTGCGACGAGTAAGCTAGAAAGCCAAAAGGCAATAAAATGTGTCTGCTAACGGGATTTTAAAGATCGTTGCTGTCACATCGACCGGTTGTCTCCCACCTCAGCGCCAGGCCCGTCTTCCATCTCAGTGAGTGCTTTCACTGTGCAGTATATAAGCCTATTCATTGACCTGCCCGTGTCTGCACAGTTCCAGCGATGCCCAATCCACGTCACTCGTCAAAGAGTCCCATCAAAGCTCAGGCCTTCGCGCTGAGCAGTGTACGACCGCCGCAGCGGCAAGGCGCTTGGCGTCCGCCCCCCGTTTATTGTGCCGACGGCGTAACACTGTATCAAGACTATGTCAGAGCCCCACCTGGTCAGGTCGGGTTTTCGCTGAACACTTCGCGCCTGGAGAATCTCGAGGGCCGGGAATCCCTGCATGTCAACGATGGAGTATACGATGAAGCTCACTACATAACGCCTCTGCATTCCGATGCAGTACCTGCCCCGACGGCGCACTCTGTGGCCCGAGAGAAGCAGGCTAAGCGCTGGGTCATGGAAACCATTCCCGCCCTACTGCCTGTCTACGTGGATCTCATGTACCGAACAGAGCGCCTGCGTCACCTTGATCGTGCAACTCCGTCTACGGCCTCCTGCATTTGCGGAAAACAGAAAGAGATTCAGGTCTTTCTCCTTCGTTGGCACGGTAGGTACTTTTGTGCACGTCCATCTTCTCTGCTTATAGGTTGCAGATTTAGACAAGGTTTCACTGCACCACTGTCCCTGTCGCCCAGCAACGCAGCAGCTTGTTGCCCGCGGCTTCTTTCCAAGCTCGCCCGTTGAACCGCACCTGGGTGTGGACATGCGAGTGCTAGATTTCGCGCAGGATCTGTTCCTCAACCAGGCACCGAACAACCGTGCACTGACCAAAACGATTGAGCAGTGCCTGGACAGGCTAGGCTACAAACTGCCCAACCGTGTAAGGATGTTATCTCGCTATCTGTGAGCCAGCGCTGATGCTTTCCTCATAGGAATCCCTACGACGCCAATTTGGCAATGCATTAGAGTACTATGTCATGCTGCGCCATAGTAAAGATCAGGCCATCGACAACATCCTCGCCACCATGCGGCAGGGGATCCAGAATGAGGACAACAACCATGAACGCCCAACCACACCAGGTCCGATGATTGCACGAACCTCTGTGCAGGAATCTCCGCGGAAGAGAGGCCGCAGGGAGTGGGACTCTTCTCCGCCGGCTTCTCCAACTAAGCGCACTCGAGCAGCGCAACCATCATCTCCGACACGATCTTTGTTGCCGTCTTCATCATCTCCGGTTAGACTGTCGTTGCCTTCATCGCCCAGTCGCCCACCAGCGTCTTCTCCGGAGCCGTCATCGCCTGTGGCCGAGTCATCACATCACACCTATCCATTCACACTGCCCGAGGACCGCCCGCGACCAAGTGAATACCTCTGGAGCCGATGTCCCGTCTGCTTCGGCGGCAAATGGGAGGACATGCGGGTAGCTCTTGATTGCATTGTTTGCGGAGACGCATGCTTCACGCAGAAACGGAACAAGGACCGAGGCTGTCGAGATCCGGAGCGCATGCATCCCAAGTCGTCTTTCTTGCCCGACCAAGCAACACAGAAGATGGCTGACTGGGTCGAAGGAAAACGCCCTGCTCGTTCCGCCCCGAACACAGCTGCTGCACCGACATTAGAAGTTGATGATGACAATGTGATCGAAGCACCAAGCATTCCTCTGCCTCGATCCGTGCTCAATGAGTGCAAACGCTCCTTCGCTGCAGCGGATGAGACTAGAGCAAAGACCAGTTCCCAGTTCTTTGACGATAAGGGACTGATGGGCTTGTCGTGTCGTCACGATAACCTGCTGTTCCTAGCAAACATTAAGACACCCGGTGAGCGACAATTCTACATGTTTGCACTACTTGAAGCTCTGTTCCAGCACCTGCCGACTGATTTTGTCGTTGGCTTCCTTTACGACATTGCCTGCCAGTTACAACGATCTGCAGTCAAATACGACTTCTTGCCTCCAGAATACATGGCCAGACTGGAGTGGGCTGTTTCTGTCCTGCATTCATACGGTCATGGAGCTGCCTGCCAAGCAGTCTATCATCCAAGACGCCGTACTCTATTCGGTTATTCGGATGGGGAGGGTCTAGAACGGTTCTGGCACTCCCTCAGCCATCTTGTCTCTTTTCTTTGTGTGTGCGGTGTGCGTGCTTGCCTTACATCTCCTGATGCCAGCTGATGATCCATATCCAGTATCACAAGCGCCGCTACACGCTGGATGCACAGATCATACACATACACAAGGGGAATTTGTTCAGATTGGGCAGCTGGCTCTCCAGGCGCTACGCTGATTGCTGTCAGCATAGACAGCACGCTACGAATGCTCTGGCTGAATGCCAGCATTCTCTATCGGTTCTGCGTGCAGAGCATGCCAAACAAGTGACAGCCTTGTCACAGCCGTTACCTCGTACGTGTTTATCTTATCTCATCTTCTCGTATCTAGTCATCGCTTGTTCTATCTAATCTTATCGTGACTACAGGACAATCAAAGAACGCAGGGAAAATCGCCATACAAGATGTACTACGCAAGACAGTGGCAATGGATAGGCTGAAGAACCAGATGTCGCAGTGGAATGAAGCCATTTACAAGGAGGACGCAGACCCCGTATATGTCGACTTCGCTTTGCAGGAGTACGCAAAAGCAGACGCCAAGTTATCGAAACTTGCGGAATCAGTGCGGAGGCAGAAGGCAGTCATGGGTGTCGAAGACAAGGCGAACCTAGCGAAGCTGGTGAAGAGCAAGTACATCCAGACTCGCACCAACGCCGCCGCCGCAAAAACAAGGTTGCGCAATCGCTTGCGGCAGAGGAAGTTTGAGCTCGACAGAGTCGAGCGTCACTTCCATCGAAACAAAGCAGGTCACGTATTCCGTTGTCGGCTTATGGCAAAGGTCTGAAATGACTTCAGATGCTAAAATGACAACTCACATCGAGGATGCCGTGCGACGCCGCGACCGAAGTATCAAGGATGTGTGCAGGCTATACAACAGGCTCTGCAAAGAACTGGAAGAACTCATCCGTCTTGGTCGTGCTCCACGCAATGCAATTGCTCCTAGAGAAATCATTGAGCAGGACATATGGGCATTGGATGTCGATGCTGAAATCTGGCTTGACGTTGGCCTGATGGAGGCAGACGAGGAAACAGAGCCGCCACTGTGGATGAAAAGTGACGCAGTTTGTCAGGGTATCCAGGCCATGTTGGAGCAGGACCGCTGTAACGAAGAGGAGCCGCGTTTGTTTCATGAATGTCGGGCTTTGCGCTGGTGGATGGCCGAGGAATGGGAAGTGGTGACGCGCGGAATGAAGTTGGCCGCGGAAGACGGTAGGTGCCAGTCGCCGTTGCACACAGTATTCGACTCCGTTTGACCTTATCCCTCTGCAGGTGAAGCTGTGATTGTCTATCAGTTCGAGCTTCGCAAGTCTGAATTGACAAAATTGGCTGCAGCATGGGAGAAACCGCTACGTCAGGTCCCGTATCCCACATCCGGGTTGCCAGCATGGGGCCCGTCTGAGGAAGATCTGCTCCAAGTCCGCATCGAGGACATGTTTGCTAGAACGTCGGTTGGCAGCTGGAAGGAGCCTGATACGCCATCATATCAAGGGGACATCGCATCAGACAGCGACTCTGGGACAGATACCGAATACTTTCCCTACGACAAACTGGACGCCTTCGAGCGTGCCGGTGATTGGCGGGAGCTTCAGGGTATCTCAGTGCACATGGACTATCCCGATTGGCTTTAGACAGACACATGGTCCTTTACGAATCTACAAACTATCCCCTTTGCACTACGAATCGGACCATCCATATGGACATATGCATCCTGTGTCGCTTGTGTTTCCGCTTTGTATATCCTTCATGCCGAGCGCGTGGCTATGGTAATCTATAAACCCACAGAACTTTGTATGCGTGGGGTGACTATGTATCTCCTTGGGGTGAAGGAATACGTGGAATCTGCTGTTTGGTGAGGTACATCCGCATCAGGTTAATCGAGATTGACATGCATTTTTAGCGGTCACAATAACTTCTTTGCAAAGCTCGTCAAAAGTCTCCACCCTTACTCCCTGAACTCGAATCTCCTTTATGCGAGCCTCCATGTCGCCGACCACACCAAGATCCCCTGCCCACATCGTTCGGGGGCGCAATGACCTCTGTCTCGTCAAAAGCACAATACCGCAGAATATAGCGCGAGTCATTCGCCCTCGGAAGTTGCGGGTCCACGTCCAGCTCGTCACCAACGACTGCAAACGTCGCAAAGAGATTTTGGGCTGTGCGGTTCAACAGTATCAACTCATCTCCTTGACGCAGTATCGCGCCTCTTTGCCTAAGCACCTTTGGGTGGATTGCGTTGAGTGTCGCTTGCATATCCCGAGATGGTATGGGGCAGAGTATCGGGTTGTGGATGGTTCTTTCGAATCATCATCGAGTCTTTGTAAAGGCTGCGACGCAGTGGAACTTGAGGGGGACAATCATATCGGCAAGGTCTGCGGAATGAATAGTTTAGTGTTGAAGATTTGGCACTGACCAGCCATTCCAGTGTCAATGCGCGATATCCGGCGCTATCGATCTCTCAAACAGCAACTGCCCCCTCCACGCGGGTATGTTGCCGTTGGGTTTCTCAGAGTGGTGGCTAGCTAATTGAACTCTTTTCTAGCGAGGAACCGGGTCATCAAGGACGAAAGCTTTCCCGACGTATTCTACCTTCCAACTTCGCGCCAGGACCTGCGTATTGCCATCCATGATATAATCATGTTGTGGTACAAGGAATCCTTTCGCAAGGATCTTGGGCCCCAAGACTTTCGGGATCCAGCCTACAGTACTCCTGAAGAGGTTCGCCGACGAAACTATCACGAGGCGGAGTGCCGCAGAGTCATCGACGTGCTGAAAAGAGTCATGGAATATTCAGAGAAGGTCAGATTTCACCTACTGTGGCAGGTATTAGAGAAGCTCGAGCGCCTCGTACAACAATTCCCTGGTGAGTTGAGCTACCTATGCCATGAAAGCTACCGCGTTTACTCATACATTACAGATCGTGACTTACCCAGTGGGTTGCTACCTCCAGATATCACCGACGTTGGCAGGAGTGTTAACGGCAATGTGGGGAGAGACAATTACATAGAAGGAGAGCCCAGCGAGTCGTCCTACGTTACGACCATCTGTCAGCGAGCCTTTGTCAACTAGAGAAGAGCGTATTTGCTCTGTACTGTCCATAACACATAGAGTGGAATCTTTTGGGACAATTACTGATACGGCGATTGCCCATTGAAAATGGAAATGAGTTATGGGCCTCTGTTGTACGTCAGCACTGTAAATCTCAAGCGGGCAAAAGAAAATTGTAATCGAGTGCTCTAGTGAAGGTATGAAATAATACAAGACTTGGGATTACTTGTCTTAGCGTCCAGAAGCAGGCTCATAATTATCTTGGCACTGGTGGGCGGCCCCGTAATTATCTTGGCGATTGGCGGGCGGCCCCATAGTTATCTAACCAATATGGGCGGCCCCGTAATTGTCTTGGCGATTGGCGGGCGGCCCCATAGTTATCTAACCGATATGGGCGGCCCCGTAATTATCTTGGCAATTGGCGGGCGGCCCCATGATCATCTAAGCGATATGGGCGGCCCCGTAATTATCTAACCGATATGGGCGGCCCCATAGTAATCTTGGCAATAGGCGGGCGGGCCCACACTTTCCTTGGGCGGGCCCATAACTCTGTGGGCGGGCTCACACTTGCCTAGGCGTCAATATGTCACATACATTTTTCCTGTGCTCAGGAATCATCTGTCGCTGAGAATATATCTACGTTCGAAAGAGAATATAAAAAACATCTGTATGCATCATTCACTCAAGTCATAAAGCGCACAAGATAAGGATTTTTTTTCTTTGAGTCCATAAGCCTACAAAATAGTGACTTGATATATCCTTAAGAGAAAGAATAAGTCATGTTACATTCATAATATGTTCATGAATACAAGTCATATGTTACATTCTATGCCAGTATTATTGCGTAGGTTTCAAAAATATACATGACTTTTACTTTCCAAATAGGCCAAAAAAACAGAAAATTTTCGGGCGCTGCGCGCGCTATCAGGACCCCGGGAGCCATGGGCACGCCCAAGGCCACCCACTGGCCGCCCATGGATTTTTGAGTGGGGCCGCCCAGAGCATTGGGGGGGGCCCAGCAGCCACCCAGCCCACAGCCGCCCACTACCACTGAGGTACCTTGTTTGGGCCTCAAAGAGGTACCTCTCGAGGTACAAATGTGGGGTGTCCAAGGTGTCTAGATGGTAACGCAAAACCCAAATACCGAGTCGACGCACTGCCAACCGATACAACCAATATACTGAGTCGACGCACTGCCAACTAGTAAACCAAAATGCCGCGTCGACGCACTGCCAACTAACAGCCAATATCCAATGTCCAAAACCCGAGCACAACTTGTCGACGCACTGCCAAGCAAGAAGTGTGGAACCAAAGTTCTCAAGTCGACGCACTGCCAACTGACCAAAACAACCCGAGCACAACTAGTCGACGCACTGCCAAGCTAGAGGTGTGGAACGATCTCAACAAAGCCCAAAGGCGACGACACGAAGTGCCGCGACTAAACCAGATGCGGCGAATCCGACTTTCTGATGTCTCAAAACTCAAACTCAAATCACAGTAGCTACAAGTGCTCAGGGAGCAACTCGTCGCGACCGGGCAGGGGTAACAGAACTTCTTAGGGTGGAATCACGCGACACGCAAATTGTACAAAACAATCTGAAATGAGAGTGATTCACAGTCCAGGGAAAAGCTTTCTAATACAAAGAAACAACGTGCTACTTATACTGTCTACGACGATGCTTAGTAAAGTCCTGTACAACTGCATAGTAGCTACGCTATCTAAGATCGGTTGCCTTTTAGGGTAATTGAAAGTTGAACGATCGGACAGGTCCTGAGTGATCAGGACCCCGCCCCATAGTCCATATGATACTTTTGATGTGGGTCAACCCACCGCGTCATACTTTTGGAATACGATGTGTTGGATTGGCCAACGGGTATGTCTTGGCAAGTGAGACCAACGTGGGCGCCCCAAGAAGCCGTATGGCCCTAGGCACGCCAGTCGTTCTCCACTTGGCTCGGTTCACGGATCTAGCCGTGTCAATCTTAGTGTGTTCGGGTACGGACGCGACTCGCTGTGACACTTGGAAGTGTCACCGCGACGCGTCCACAATGTCCCGTGATCAAATGGATCCTGACATGTGACAAGTCGTCGCCGTAGCACGATCTGAGGAAACGTCCAACTCAAGACCGGGAGTTGCCGCGACAAGATTGGTTCAATCTCGTAACGCCAAGCCTTGTCCAGTAGTAGTCGTATTATTGAGAACGTTGTACACTGCTCAGCCCTTCAGCCCAAGTATCCATCTGCAGAGAATGACCCTTTTTGGGAAGTCGACACAACAACAGATCCCTTCTTGGGGAATGGTCGCGGCCCAAGCGTTCGTCACTAATGGCCCTGAGCCTGGTATAGACTCATAAGACCAGTTCCACAGTAGTGGTCTGACCGCCTTGCTATCGTCGACGCTATCCACAGTCGTCGACTGGGCAGTAGACCCTTAAGTCCTACTGAGCGCAACACTGTCACCCGCGACACGATACACCGAGTGGTTCGAGAGTAAACTCTGTAAAAAGCGCAAAAATACGCCCTTGCAGAGCTGGTGCAGAGCGCGTCTGGTAGCCAGCCTATCAGCGTGCCTCTGGCCGTGGACTGATGCTTCCGTTTACAAGGATTTCTTTCGTGAACTTATACAGGGTGTGATTTATTGTCATTGGGACCGTAGCCTTCAGCCGCAGTCTAACTACTGTGCGACATGTCCATACGCAACGTCAGAGACTCACCGGGCATTGTGCGGTCAAGAGCAAGGGCAGATGTTGCACAGCCACCTGATGACTCTGCCGTGCGTATGACCATCGGTCATGCTCATCTTGGGATCATCAGGTGGCTGTGCAACATCTGCCCTTGCTCCCGACCATGAACATACATTATTTCTGATCTTGTTGCCTATACTATGCCTCTCTATCGCTTGCCATAGTTCATGTAGACTTAGAATAGAAATCCTAAGTACGCCATCTTGACAGTGGAATACAAAAGACTCACATACATAGTTAAGGGAACAGGGACTTGCACTGAGGCTGCAGTGACAGACCAGGCAATGGACGACATACTTCAAAGCGTGCGGGAGGAGATGCGCGAAGAAGAGGAACATTGCGAACGGCCATCAACACCTACTCCCTCACCCCACCGCGGTGCTGAAGAATCTCCGCGCAAAAGAAGGCGCAGAGAACTCGAGTCGTCCCCACCATCCTCTCCGACTAAGCGCACCCGAGCACTGTCTTCCTCTCCGACCCGGGTGTTCATGCCCCCGTCTTCATCACCTGGCCCCAGCCCCGAGCAGTTGTCTTCTCCAGGTCCATCCTCCCCCATTGCTGAGTCATCCGGCACCGCCGGGCCGATCTACCCGTTCCCGACGCCTCAAGACCGTGTCCGACCCAGCGAATATCTGCGTGGCCAATGTCCCGCATGCTTTGGTGGCAAATGGGAAGATGCACAAATGGCGCTGCATTGCATCGTTTGTGGAGATGCATGCTTTACGCAAAAAAGGAACAAGGATTGGGGGCAGCAAGACCCAGTACGCGCGCATCCGAAGTCTTCTTTTCTACCCGATGAAGCGACAGAAAAGATGGCTCAGTGGGTCGAAGGGATCCGTCCCACGCGTCCTGCTCCGGGCTCAGCGGCTGCACCAACACAAGAGGCCAATGATGATGACGAGATCGAAGCACTGTCCATTCCTCTGCCGCGATCTGTGCTCAATGAGTGCGAGCGGTCTTTCGCTGCAGCAGACGAGACCAGAGCAAAGAGCAGTTCTCAGTTCTTTGACAATAAGGGGCTCATGGGCTTGTCGTGTCGTCACGACAACCTTCTCTTCCTGGCAAACATCAAGAGGCCTGGCGAACGCCAGTTCTACATGTTCACCCTCATTAGGGTGTTTCACGAAGCCTTTTTATGACGTTTTTACGATGCCTTTTATGATCTTTTTAAGAAACGTTTTGTATCGAAAAAAGCCCATAAAAAGACCTTAAAAAGACCCCTGCGTGAAACCCCCTCGGCCTCAAGGACATTTTTATAGATAGATCACATGTTCTTCATGCACGCAGACTGCACCGCCTTGCACCGCTTCCCTGAACAGTCTTGCCTTCATCATGCCCAAGGTCTCACTTCGCAGACGCCTCATCGACGGTGCCTATGCCTACGCGCGACGACTGCAAGCCTGGAGGACACGAGAGAGGGATAGGAGGGATAGGGAGGAGGAGGAGGAGATTATTGGAGGACTTGGGGTCGGGAACAAAGATGACGAAGACGTGGTGTCGGACTTGGACAGCTCGATGGATGTCAGTGATATCTCCTCAGTTGCGTCTGTATCATCATCGAGTGCCTCTGAATCCAACAACTTTGACTCGGAGGATGAAGAAACCCAAAGATTTCATGACCACTACTTGGCAATACGCGAACGCATACAGCAGCTCGAGAGCGCACGGACACTTAAGCCCAAGACAAAGGTTCACAAGAAGTCTCAGCTCCATCTTGTCCTTGTGCTGTACCGGCGAGACGATCCCCACCGCTTCCGCCGCAACCTTCGTGTCGCACCTGACACCTTCGATGGCATAGTGCATCGCATTGAGAGCCACCCAGTCTTTGGAGGGGAGGAAGAAGGAGGACATCGACAGCTGCCGGTTGACCGGCAGCTCGCCATTACTCTTTTCCGGTTCGGACACTTCGGGAACAGTGCATCGGTCGAATCCATTGCTCAGTGGGCTGGCGTGTCCGCTGGGATGGTTGTCAATGCAACGCGTCGCGTCATAGTTGCGTTACTTGATTTACACGACTCGGTCATACGTTGGCCGAATGCGGAAACCAAGGAGGACGCAAAGCAGTGGGTGGAGGATCAGAGTTGTGCAGCATGGAGGGATGGGTGGCTTCTGGTCGATGGAACTCTTGTTCCGCTGGCGGAGAAGCCTGCATATCATGGGGAGGCCTATTTTGACCGAAAAAGTAACTACTCGTTCAATGTTCAGGTGTGTCTGTGTTCTCAGGCATCTTATTTGCGTACTTATTCATGAACAGCTGATAACGCTACCAAACTTACAAATCATTGACTATGTGATAGGACACACGGGAAGCACGCATGACTCTACAGCATTTGCACAATCCCGGACGTGCAAAGATCATGCTCAACTCATCGGACCCAACGAGTGGATATGGGCAGACTCAGCATATCCGGTCGAATCATGGTGCGTAACACCCTTCAAGAAACCTGCCAACCGCCTCCCTGAGAACAAGACATTCAATTACTGGGTCTCGCATGTCCGGATTCGATCGGAACATGCTGTTGGCTTTTTGAAGGGACGATTCCAATCTTTGCGTGGTCTTCGCCAACAGATCAAGAACGAGAAGGATCACCTGCGAGCTCTGGAGTGGATTCGGGCATGTCTGGTTTTACACACTCTCATCCACATCATTGAGTCGGAGGGAGGCTCGCTTGATCAAGAGTGGGTAGAGGAATTGATCAGGGATGGTGAGTCAGATGTCGAAGAAGATCGCGAGGAAGAGGCACCGAGGCGACGGGGGCAGGGTGGCCGAGAGACTGCAGGAAACCGGAAGAGAAGGAAGCTCAAGGAGGATCTCTTTGCAAGCGGTGCTACTCATCGATGAAGGAACATTCGAAACATGAAGAGGATGTATAGCATTTCAATTGAATTTGTCTAACAAGTCTGTATACTCATTGTCTCCGTCGTTATGCTCTGGTGTTTGGTAATCAAGTCCCGACATCTCGACACCAGATATGCTCGAGCCCGCTGGAGATGTATAACCTGTCTGCTGATGCTGAAAACCAAACTGTCCTTCCATCGGCATTTCCAAGCCCATTTGGCCTCCGAGCCCCATGCCATTCCCGCGATTCATGACCATCATCTGTTGTAACATACGCATCATCAGCTGATTCTGCTGCGCCTGTTGTTGCATCTGCAGCCGTCTTTCTTCTCGCTCCAGTTCAAATTTCTGGCGCTCGTTCTCAAGCTTTCGACGCTTGTTCTTTTCGCGCTCGATTTCCAGACCCACTCGGTCCGCCCGTCGTTTTGAGGATTCAGCAAGATCCTCATGATAAGCTTGATCAAGCGAGTCGATGTCGAACCGCTTTGGCTTTGGCTTGGCTTTGCTTGATTCGGACTTGCCCTGGTAGCAGTCTGTCAGTCAACAATTCTTGTTGACCAACCTCCAACTCACGCTGTTCTTCTTTCCCTTCTCTTGTTTTGGCATAATCTCCTCAGGAGCGTCCTCAACCTCTTCATGTTCCAACTCGTCCATATCTGGTCCCTCCGACGTTGCAATCAACTTGTCACAGGGAGGCGAGGATGCGTCTCGAGAGATGGTGGTCCAAGAGGGACTGTGGGCAACATCCCCCAAGGCTAGAATATCATCGGCAGCATCGATCCCAAAGAGCGCTCCTGCTCGCTTCCCGTGATTTGCACCCGACTTCGCGTTCAACACGCCGATTGGGTTGTAGTTGGGCAGTTCTCTCCAGAATCCATCCAGTTCGTCCCAGTGAACAAATTGTTCTTTGATTTGTGCTGATGGATGGTCAGACTAACGGAACACAAGTGATTCTGGGCCGTAACTCGCACCTATGAGATTGGCTTGATCGTCTTCAGGCCGCAGTCCTCCACCTGTTGCGTAGAGTTTACTGACATGCCCTGAATAGGTCTTCTTCATCCTGAATCCCAGTGAGTAACTTCGACCTGACTAGTTCATACTGGGGACCAACTCACCGAGAAAACTGTTGCTGCAGAGATCTCGCCAAACTCCCTCGATCAGCCAGGTACTTGGCTTTCCACTCCGGACCCAACACCCCGGTCTCCTCCTCGTTGCTCTCTGCCTCATGATCTGCACTGCCGCTCTCTGACTTCACCTTTGCCTCTTCCTCCATCTCTGATGCGGACGGCACACCTGCAACAAAGTCCATGATGATCTCGTACATCCCGACTTTTGTCTCCTTCCCCTGCACCTTGGCCCGAGACTGTGCGGCAGCGTCACTGGTCGAATCACTGAAGAGCTTCATACGGAACTCAGGATTGTTGGTGAGGTATTCGATGGCCTTAGCAATCCAGCTTGGGTTCTTGCCCCAGGGAACGCTGTCACCCTTTGTCCTCTTGGTCTCTTCTACCTCAACCTCGTTGTCGTCTGCTATCGGTTTCACCGCCACCTTCTTTCCCCTCTTAGCCGACTTCTTCGGTTCGGTGCCAGCATTTACATCACTCCCTGCAGATGCGGCTTTCCCCTTTGAGACGGTCGAGGCACCATCCTTCTTCTTCTTGGAAGTTCCAGAGGACATGGAGGATGCAGAACGGAGGGGTAGGGATAGGAGATTTGCCAGTCGTAATGTGATACAGAATTACATAAGTTATACAAAAAAGGCTCGTAAAAATGGACATGATAAAAAGCTCTCAGTGCGTAAAAGGGGTCGAGGTCGTTTATGCAATGGTTGCAAAAAAGGCCATCTTTTTATGGCACTCGCTTTTTGATGGCATGATAAAAGGATCATAAAAAGGATCATAAAAATGTCATAAAAAGGCTTCGTGAAACACCCTATTGAAGCTTTGCTCCAGCACTTGCCGACCGACTTTGTGGTCGGTTTCCTGTACGACATCGCCTGCCAGTTGCAACGGTCAGCAGTAAAGTTCGACTTCCTTCCCCCCGTGTACATGGAGAGATTAGAGTGGGCAGTGTCTGTCCTGCACTCGTACGGGCATGGCGCTGCTTGCCAAGCAGTTTATCATCCGAGACGGCGCACTCATTTCGGGTTTTCTGATGGAGAGTCGCTGGAACGCTTCTGGCACTCTCTTAGCCATTTGGTATCGTTTCTTCGTGTTTGCGGGGTATGCGCTCTAGATAATGTCATTATCAGACCCATGCTAACACCCCTACCTCTAGTATCACAAGCGCTGCTATACGCTCGATGCACAAGTGATCCATCTTCACAAAGGAAACCTCTCACGATTAGGAACCTGGTTAGCACGGCGCTACGAAGATTGTTGCTCACATCAATGACACGCTGATACTGCCCTGAGTCAATGTCCATATGAAGAACTGGTCCTTCGGGCAGAGCACGCCAAGCAGGTTGCGGCAATGTCCAAGCCACAACCGCGTCAGCCACAAGTTCCCTCCATTCAGCGCTAGCTAATTCGTTTCCAACATTACAGGTCAATCAAAGAATGCAGGCAAACTCGCCGTCCAAGACGTGCTGCGGAAGACGCTTCTCATGGACAAACTGAAGGCGCAGATGTCTCAGTGGAATGACACCATCTTCAAAGAAGACGCGGATCCTCTTTACGTCCACTTTGCCGAGCAAGAGTACGCTAAAGCACATGAGAAGCTGAGCAAGTTGGCGGAATCAGTGCGCAAGCAGAAGGCAACGATGGGAGTGGAAGACAAGGCCGATCTGTCTAAGATGGTGCAGAGCAAGTACATCAAGGTGCGGATGAATGCTGCCGCCGCCAAGACAAAGTGATGCAGCCGTTTGAGGCAGAGAAAGTTTGAGCTTGATCGAGTCGAGCGTCACTTCCACCGGAACAAAGCAGGCATGGTGTTTCTTTTCTTTCTGCCGATAGCAAGTGCTGACTAACCTGAAACTTCTCAAGACGCGAAACTGACAAGTCACATCGAGGACGCAGTCAAACGCCGCGACCGAAGTATCAAAGATCTGTGCAAACTCTACAACAACTTGTGCGAACAACTGCAGGAGCTCATCGATCTCCACCGTGCCCCACGGAACGCGGTGGCACCTGGACCAATCAATGAGAAGGACATCTGGGGGCTGGATGTTGATGCTGATGTCTGGCTGGACATTGGTTTGACGGACATCAACGAGGAGGTTGACCCGCCGTTGTGGATGAGCAGCGATTCTGTCCGCAAGGGCATTCAGGCTCTACTCGAACGGGACCGATGTGACGAGGAAGAGCCACGTCTACATCACGAGTGTCGGGCGCTGCGCTGGTGGATGGCAGAGGAGTGGGACGTTGTTGGGCGGGCCCTGCAACTGGCAGGCAAGGCTAGTACGTGCATTCAGCCAACGGATGAACAATCATAGCTGACGTCCAGTGTAGATGAAGAGGCAGTTGTCTTCCAGCTCAAGCTTTGCCAGTCAGAATTGACGAAACTGACCGCAGCATGGAAGAAGCCGCTGCGACAAATCCCGTACCCAACCGAGGGCCTCCCCCCTTGGGGTCCTTCAGACAGGGATGTACTACAGATTCGCATCGAAGATGTATCTGCCCGTACGAGAGATGGTGCCCCAAGCTGGGTGAACAACGAGTGGAAGGATACCAATGGGGATGAGGACTCCGGTAGTGAGACTGAGTCCAACGGCGAGTCTCTGCCTTACGATGAGCTGGAGGCCTTCGAGCGTGGCGGCATCGTCTGGGATGGGGAACTACTATCATAGCGTAGCGTCGACACCTTCACATCCACTTCGGCCTCGGTCAATTTCATTTTGTACCTGAGCACATGGCATCCCCCGATACGCACAGCTGGTCGTCTGGTACTAAACGTGTGGTCATGATCAATCACGCCTCTGCTGGGTAATCCAACTAAGCACTCGGAAATAGATCTGCGGGTGCGTTGTCACATGTTTTGATTATCGCCGATAGTACTTCAGTCCTCACTCTTCTTACAGGGGCCAAAACCGTATCGCGCTTTTATCCCCATCCTCTTCCTCATACGTGGCAAAAACACTGCGTCTACTATGCCGCCGTTCCGGACAACCGCTGTCTCGTTGTCTGCCCGTGCCAGTCCCATGCGCACCGACCGACACCAACCTCCTCCCATCGCCAAGCCTACAGAAGGTGTACGTGTCCACGTTCACCTTCTGACCGGTAGTCGGGACCGCAAGGAGATCCTGGGCTGCGAAGTGCAACAGTTCTCACTCATCACACTTGACGAATATGAGCGCTCGGTACCGGACCAAACCTTTGCAGAATGCGAACAGTGCAAGCTGCTCATGCCTAAATGGTACTGTGCTTATTACACTAAACGTGGGGACAAATTTGTGTCACCGTCCCCCTGTTGCAAAGGGTGCGATGCAATGGAGCGCAATGGACAATACGACAATGATGCAGTCCGTGTGCATGGGTTTTCGCTTGTTTTCCCATTCCAGAGTTGAATACATTCCAGTGTCAGTGCGCGGCCAATGGAGGTATCGATTTGACCAATGCAGATTGCTTGCGGCACAGCGGTACTTGCTTTCAGCTGAAGAAGAACCAGATAACTAACCAGTGCACAACTTATAGTGCGGCCTATGGTTGTGGTGGAAGATGACTTTCCCAATCCTTTCTATTTGCCAACATCGCGCTCAGAATTGCGCTGTGCCATCAGTGAGTGTAGCCTCCTATGGCAAATTGACCTTGATACAGCGGCTCCGCGGGCGTACACTCAGCTGTACATGAGGACCACGCCTACAGAGGACATCACTCGGCGCATTGCTCAGGATCGTGAACTTGACAAGGCCCGCAAGGCCTTCCTGGATCTGGTGAAGTCTGTTGACGACGTCGAGTTGCACCAACTACACCAGGTGCTACAGAAGTTCCAGCGCCTCGTGGAGAAGCTTCCAAGTGAGCATGCCGACTAAGCCCAGCGCGCTGCATTCTGACGTCTGCTATAGAGCCCGACCACTCCATCGGGTTGTTGCCGTTTGGTGATGGGATTGAGAACGTTACTGACGCAGCGGAGCTAGCACCTCCTTGCACTGCTGTTGCCAAGTCGTCTCCCAATGCTGGCTTCCCAGAACTCGTTTAGTAATGATCACAGTCACAACACGTCTGCTTGAATCCATATCGTTCACTTGATCAGTTCACTGAGGACATTATTAACTTCCTACATGCCATGATGTAACTGAATGCTCCCCGTACTGTATCACTGTCTTGTGTTGTTTGCCCTGACACCAGTGACGGGCGCCCACACCAAACTACAGGCGCCCGGATCCCATCACGGGCGCCCACAGCAAACTACGGGCACCCACAACAATTCAAGGGCGCCCACACCTGATCACGGGCGCCCACAGCCAACTACGGGCACCCAGACTTACGACACGGGCGCCCACATCTCTTCACGGGCCCCCACGCACTGGCCGACCAACGAAGGATCAATCGGCACCTCCTTATGCCGTGCCCATAACCGGCAGCGACCCTCTATATGACCCTTGTCACGGTGACCGTGACTGTTCAACTTTGCCTTCAACCACGGACGATGCGGCGCATTGCTTACAGGTCCGTCTTGTACCAAACGCGCTCCACTGCCATTGCTCACATTTGCAGACCCAAACCCCTGACACCCAAGCAGCTTGAAAAGAAACGTACCTGCTGGGTGTTACGCACTCCCTCTCCCCCTCCTCGCATGCAGTGAGTCCGTCCCCCCAGTCCAGAATTTGAGTGCTCTGATGCAATGCCATTCAGGGCCGCGAGTCAACAGCGCGTTTTGCCTGAGGAGAGATACCGAAATACGGTCTGTTTGGCCGCTCGTAGGGCTCGGCGCCGAGTGCGGAGAATCCGCCATGGGTGGGGCGGAGCAATCATCCGATCTGACGACGACGAGGAACCGGAGACGGAGGACAGCGAGGAAAGTGAGAGCGAGAGCGAGCGAGAGCCGGAGGACAAATTTGAGCACCATCTCGCAGAACGTCGTGCCCGAGGTAGGCTTGCCAGGTTCAAAATAAACAAATGGGATTACTTAAACACCTGGAAAAAGCTTGTTCAGTCGAACGGAAGAAGGCGTTTGCAAAAGGTAGGCTTGCCGTATGAACGCGTAGTCTCAATGACAAAATTATTGGATTAAGAAGAGAGAAGAATTGCACAGGAAAAGCTTGAAAAAGCAGAACGTCTGGGCGAAGTCATAGATGTGGACGAGTGGGCGCAGACGCAGCGAGAATCGCGACGCAGGCCGCCGCCCCCTGATGCAGAGATTTTCAGCATCAATGATTGATTGAACGCAAAAAAGCTACATGGATATTCAATTGGCATCGTGTACACACGGGTGATAAGTAGGAAACAACAAATGTATTTTGTGTGCAACGAAGGCAATAGAAATCGACTTTAACTTCCTAAACGGGACGTAAAATGGCCAAAAATTTCTAGCGCTGCGCACGCTAGGACCCCGGGCGGGGTTGGGTCTGCCCGGGCTGCCGCCCACGGGCGCCTGGAACCGTGAACAATGGGCCGCCCACGGATCGCAATTCGTGAAATGAACGCCCGCCGCCCATCCGCCCGCTACCACTCAGGTAGGTTTTGGGCGCCGGAAAAACCTACCTAACTGGTAGGATTTGGGGGGTGACCAAGGTGAGCCCGAGTCCAAAGAGGCTGAGCTGAAGTTGGAGAAGTCGGAAAGAGAAGAGAGGTTGGTGTCCAAGTACTCGACTCTCTTTGGCTCTGTCTGTCTGGTGCAGCGAAGCTTTTGGCAGAGACATAAGCGACGGAGTGTCCAGGCTTTCCAGAAATGGAAGTATGCATCCAGAATAGCCTTCTCGTGCATAGTGCAACACAACGCGTGAGGCATGTGGAGGGCAGAAAAGAAAGAAAGAGAGACTGATTTCATAATGGAGGAAACATAAGCCCACTCAAGAGAGTCAAATCAACAGTAAAGCAGAGTGCATAACATGGTGGTCAAAATAGAAGCAATTCATATACAATTCAGAGACACTCTGATGGTGATTTATGTGTCTAAATCTCATCTAAATCACGACAGAATTGTGTCTGAATCACACTCTGAATCACATCTGAATTGGCATATTTGACTGCCCCTATTATGGATTTGGTGTTCTGTCACCATTGAAGCTCTTGCACTTTCACACATCTGAGAAGCTGATTAGAGGAGTGTGGCATGCTTTGTGGTTGAGTTGATTTCATTGTTGATTTTGTCAGAAGCATCCCCTCAGCATTTCACCGTACACACCACCTTTCCCTCCCATCTCTCCTATTGTCTGTAACTGTCAGCACTTGCCTGACATCAATACTCCAATGTTACAATCCCTCATTCTTGTAAAAGGTCAGGACTTGGGAGCTTACAACACCACAAGCAAACCTTGCCTGTAACCACAACCACCTCACTCACCATGAGTCACTTTCATCATTGATTGTGAGTCACACTACCTCTCAACAACCCCAGGCCTACCAGCAGTCACTCTTTCTGGGGAGCGGGTGTCAAGTGGCTCTTGATATACCTACAAGCACACTGTATTGCTATTCCGTGATGATAGATAGTCATACAACGTGCTGCTACTTTGTGACAACCAGGCAGCACATACCAACTGCCCCTTTTTTGCTTAGTCCTTGATAGACATTTGGAGCTAGGTGCTGGAAAGCTTGTTAGATATGCAGGCAGGGGTCCAAGACAAAAGTGTGTCATGAGCTTGTACATAGCAGTAGGATAAGCTTGGGAACACAGTGTTCAGCGAGTGGACCATGAACAAGAAATAATGTTGAAAAGAGAAGTGAATTTGAAGACTGGAGAATACAACCAAGTAGCTACAGTATTTATACCCAAATCCAGTCTGAGTCATCTCTACAACTAATGAGTCATAAGGCTATGTACCGCATGGAGCACTGGTCATGGGTCATAGTAGAACCTTCCAGAGCATATGTTGTGCAGCTTTGAATCAATAAAGATAATCCTCTGGACCCTAGCCCAGACCGTCAGATGCTGTGATCCATGATAAGATAATCTGTGACAAGATAAAATAAAATTGTTGATGGTAAGATGAAAAAGTGGCCAAACTATGACACAGGCTGAGAGTGTAACTCTTTCCAAGCTGATCAGGGAAACCCAATGGCAGCGTGCTCTGGACAGCAGACACCAAGGACCACAGGCCATGGGAAGGGTTTTGGAAGATGACTACTATGTGCTGAAAGAACAGGCTCTGGAGATCTGGACAGACAATGGGCACTGTTTGGCAGTACAGGATGTGAGTTTATTGGGTATAAAGGTGATTGCTACTCAGGGAATGGATCTAGAATGGGGGGCACTGTGAGACAGATTCAACCCTCGCCATCACCCCTGCCATCACCCCTGCTGTCACCCCTGCTGCAGTGGTGCACTTGCCCCTGCCATCTCTTTGGCTGCATAAATGTAGGGAAAGTGTCAGAAGAGCAGAAAACACCGGGGTACAACCTTTATCCAGGTTCTGATTGGCTAATGAGTTAATGTGTTCTGAGCTGTCACTTTCCATAATATTACATTTTTGGAGATGGCAGGGGTTGCAGTGGGGGTGAGGGTTGTGGCGGGGATGCCAATAGTGGTGGGCAGAGGTTTATGCACCCCTGCAATCAACCCTGCCCAAGCCACCACCAGGATTGAATTCACAATTTTGGGTTTTCAAGCTCAAATGTATAGTTAAAATTGAACCAAGCTATTGAAATCCCAGTGGGATGATTTGGAGCTGCTGTTTTTATTTTATTT